AATCCCTCGTTACAATGTGTGTTTAGATTTCTTCTCTAGCCAGCCACATCAGCAGTACAGAAAGCACTTCAGTGAACCTACATGCAAACCCACCCAACAGTAAGCCCTAGTGCAGGCTCATATTCAGCTTGTACTACACTCCCCTCATGCTTCCCACGGCATCCAGGCAAAGCACAAATAAAATTGTGTTTGAAATGTACATGAGTGGTAGCCACTTGGATATAAGGGAGCTCAGGCCATGCGAGCAACAGAGATAGGTCGATAATTAATAGTCTACGCTACAAAGTAGAGGGTTCAGGATACAGAATTACTTAACTAAAAGGTGGAAGACCAAGTTGAGATCCCATTAAGAACAGCTGTCTGAGTGGCTACATAAGTCATGAGACTGGCACTAATGCAGGACCAAAAGGAGCAAAGATTTTTTCCTTAGACCAAAATGAAGCTGTAATGCAAAATGCATTTGAACACCTCTCTTACTCACTTCAAACTAACATGGAATAATCAGATTAGGAGATCAGTGAACAACTTTACGCCTTTTCTCCAAACAGCATTTAGCATGCTATTCTACTACTATCGTCTTGCTTTTTCCACTAAGAACACCTGTAGGATACATGCTTACAACATAAATAAAAATGAAAGAAATTGAACCAAATGCCCTGAATTCAAAGCAGAAAATTATTTTGGAGGACAGGAACAAATCACTGTTTCTAGGTTCAGATCTACTAATATCACTGCAGAACTTACTAGATAGTAAGAAAACTATCCAAGTTCTGCTGGAATCACTGATTTCTATTAACTGCCTATTCTATAAAAAAAAAATAAATCAAATAATTGATTTGAAAAATATTGAAAAATGTTTTCTAAGTGGTAATAGAGAAAGCAAATAATACAGGAAGAAAGGGTCACTTATTCCTTAGGGAAAAATTACAGAGGTCAATGTACAGCTTGTATGGGATACGAGGATGGTAAGGATTCCCTATGTATTTGGCACATGGAAAAATTAAGATTCACTGGCGTATCTTTGTGTGTCAGAGAAGTCTGGTAAGTATCTTGTGCCCCTATTCTGGTACTCACCATAGTCTGCGAACATACTTGGAAACTGAAACACGTTGCTCCTGGGATGGAAGGTTTTCTAGAGAGTCAGTCAGTTGACAGAAATCACTAACTGCCACGGTAAATTAAACAGATAAAGATATCTTGGATTTCTAAATGAGGAAACAGCAAAACTCAGAGCAACCAAAATTAACAGTTGTTAATTGTAATTAACTGCCTGTTACTTCCAAAAAGCCAAACATTGAACAATATCCAGGTCCTTCTAAGGGCACAGCAACACCTTTTTAGGGACAAATGTGCCACTGTGTGAAAACTCTGACCTGGCTCACAACGGACAGAAGCAGCACTAATCTTCACAGATACTCCATAATGGGGTTTCATTTTGGTTTGGCTGAAATTATTATTATTACAGACTGCATACTGTACTGGAAACACAGTGTCCCTTAATAGGACAGACTTGATCCATGCAAAGGAATGGCTGAGGAGGCTCATGTACAGCAGCAACCTGGGGAAAACAAACATATGTGCATATGTAGGCATGCATTTGTACATTGGTAAGTAAGGAAAAAGCTCACTGTTATACAAGGACAGAACCCTCCAGGACAGGAAATTTTTTTCTCCTCCATGTTTCAGAAAAAGAATCAATAACAAGAGGCCCCAAGTCAAAGTTACTGAAGATAATTTGATACCATCTTGAGTTAAGAAACAAATCTTACTCTGCAGTGTTGCATTTCAATTGCACCCACATTCTCGGAAATAGTTGTACAAGAATGAGAGATCTTAACAAGTAGCGTGTTTGAAGACTCCCAAAAATAAACTGGTCCTACTGAATTCTCAGCTGGCAGGTGTCCACATACATAAAGGTATTCATACTACTAGAGAGGGAAAGGAGTTAGCGTGAACCATCAAAGATCTCCAGCACTTTGGGGCCGAGGGACACGCATGCTCCAACAAGCCTTTTCTTACCCCACAGAATTACAGAAGAGGCCAAGAGTTCATGAAGACCCCACCTGTAAATGGGAATATACCACTGCCTGCCATAGCCCTCTGGGCACCACCAGGCCCTGACCAACCTGACCAGCCTCAGCTGCTGTCTCCACCAGCCCCCTGCGGGCCAGGAGCCCCAGTTAAGCTCAGGCCTATGTCCCCAGTCCTGGCTTGAGTTTAAATACCATGCCTGCCTCCAGCCCTGCGCTCACCTCCAGGACAGACCTCAGACCTGTGTTACGTGTAGCCTTCTCCCCAGTCCTGTCTCCAGCTCAGCTCCTTTTGATCCTGACTGGAGCCCCTGCATAGACCCAGGCCCTGGCTGATCATTTGCCATGTCTGGGACTGCTGGTGGGTCCTACTGCCAGTCCCTGGCTTTGCCCACAGTCCTCAGGCCCATGGCACAGGGTGACCTGGTGGTGCGGGCACAGCCTCTGCTGGTGGGACCCATGGGTCCCTTCTTGCCCTCCCTCAAGGAGCAGCCTTGCTCGTGCTACTCCCAGACGCTACCGCTCAACCACATCAGACAAATGTATTTCCAAAGAGGAAACCACTATTTTTAACTAAGTATTTCTTACTATTTTAAGACCTTCTAGTCTGATCCAAATTCACCTCTCGATAAAGAGCACTGTAGCAAAAACTAATCTCCAAAGTTCTCTCCAGTCTTCACATGGAGGTAACAGCTCAGATCAAATATGGTGTTGGTACTAAAAATTGCCATAGCCTGACAACTACAGCAAAGCTGATAAAATGAGCACAGTCAAGTCATTATAAGCAACATGCACTGTGTCTCGTTCTTCACTGATTATATTTTCATATTTTCAGAAACTGCTGAGCATTGCTGCCTTTCCAAATCTATGCTTTTTTCCAAACCCAGAGCAGTAACCACAAACATAACCTGCAATACACAGGTGGAGAGGTTGGGGAGGGGGAAGGCGAAGAAGATGGGAAAACACAATAACCCATATTTCAAGAGACACAGGATTTCCTGAGCATACGATATAATATAGAATGCGACATTGGTTAATTTAGATGTCTTATACAAGTGACTTGTTTGAGGTTTTCAGAATACTCTGGTCTTACCAAGTCATGTTTGACTTTATTCTCCAGTAAATAAATATAGTTTTGTGGTTTCTATTATTTTTTAGATTATCCTATGGTATAAAATACATATTCTATTGACCTAAGAAGAGCAATAACTACTAAGCAAAGTAATTAGGATTTGTAAACTATCAGGTTCTAAATAAAAGGTTTTCCAAAGGTAATATCTTGGGGAGATGTTAATTGTCTGCAGTTTGATCAACTTAGGAAAGAATTTTTTTAAAACCCAGGATGAAAACATGAATGTTCAAAATATTAAAAAAAAAAAAAAAATTCCAAGTGTTGTTACCCTCATCAGTCACCTAATGTCAAGTGTATATACCCTACAGTACCCTGCTTGTATTAACCTCTATATAATTAGGCTAGCTATAACCTGGCATTGGAAATAGCAATACATTTTACCATCTTAAATGCACTACTACAAATCAAGACTTGTAAACAAGACCATGGCGCCAAACAGTTTGCATCCTTGCATATAACTAAAGATATTACTATATTAGATTGTGATAAATATTAATAGAAAAGAAAAATTTATACCATCTGAAACAGACACAACCAAACATAAAAGAATACTTTGCTTATTTTTAATCATGAAAAGGATTTTGATCACATGGGCACAAACAAGATGTCAACAGGAAAGACAACAAGGGAAAAAAATGTAGATGACGAAGTAACTGCACCAGAAGAGCCCATATCCAGACTTCAAAAACAAATGCAGACTTCAATGCACAAAACTGCTGTTTAAAAAGGTATTATAATTCAGCAACATGACAAAGTGTCACCCATATGTTTACCATAAGTCAGAGGAAGAAAAAGTAACCACACTAAGCCTTGAACTGGTATTCTGACCTAAATAGCACACAGGATTTTACAGCAAATTATGAAGGCAAGATTACTGAAAGACAAGGAAGTAAAACAGAAGAGGATAGTAGCAAAACTTTTATGAAATGTTTATGAAAGTGCTAGACTAAATTCAAAACAAAGAGAGCCAAGATCTACCATATTTTTTTTCTCTAGGCAGTAAGTTCACACCTACCTGGGATGCTTAGAGCAATGCACTTTATATTTTACCACCTGGGAAATTACTACATAAGTTGGAAAAGATAGGAAAAATCAGAGGAGGACTTGTGTGGGTTGGTTTGGGGGTTTTTTGCTGTTGTTGTTTTGGGCTTTTTTTAAGAAACTGACTAAATGGGAGATGACCAAGCGGAGTTGAGAAAAGGAAAGCATCACAGGAAAGAAGATTAAAATAGAATTCCTCAAAGCAGAAATACAGAACAGAAAAAGGCTTGTAGTCATCTGGAAAAATGGGCACCCAGATTTGCTTGATAGGCAGAGCTAGCTTATTCAAATAAAGAAAAGGCTGAAATATAAGCATGGTAAATCTTTACAAATATATTAGAGAGGCAAGAAGCAAATAACTGTACCTAATTTAGCCATTAATACATCTGGGCTGACAATCAGGTGTTTACAGATCTTAAAGACATTTACAGATCTTAATGAATTACTGACGATATGCCAAACTGCCTTCTTAGAAATCAGAAGAGCACAGGAAAAAAACCTCCAAATGCTTTTTTCTTCTCCAGTTTTCTTAGGGCTTTTTCATTTGAGAAAGAGTTAGATAAATTTACAAAGAGGACTACATGATCGTATGCAGCCCTGCAGCAGCAGAATTCTTGTACCCACATAAGCAGGGATTTATTTTCCAGAAAGAACGCCGTTTAAAATCTTTTACTATTTAAAAGTGGTCATCCTGCTGCCTCCTGCGTAACTCAGGAGTAACACACCAGGACTGCAGAAAGAGATAAACCGAATTCCTCGACAGTACTGAATGTTTTAAAAGTTTGGAAGATTCTTACCCTGTATTGATGGAAATTATTTCTATCAGTGGATTCTTCCTAATCTTTGGCAAATCCAGTCGTGCTCCCCCCAAACGCTTTCCATTATCCTTTTTCTGACCCAGCAGTCTCACAGAATGACCTTCAAATGAAACAAAAATGCAGTCAATACAAAGCACAAGTCCCATCATATTTGTCCTGATTTGCTCTTCTTCACAAGTAGCATTTATACTTCAAAGACTGAAAATGAGAATGAGACGGAGTAATTTATTTCCACCAGCTGTAGCATTTAAAAAGAGACACTAACAGGTAAAATAAATCATGTTAAAATGAACAGATTCTTTCATCCCATGACCTTTTCACACTTGCATTTCCTGGTTTATTCAATTAACATGATTTAAGCAGTTTCATTTTCAGATTCTCAAGCAAATATCAACAAAGCAATATTTAAATAAGTTGTATGGCAGGATTAAAATATTTTTCCTCAAAATTTCATTAAGCAACTAAATATTTTTTAGCTTATTATATGGAGAACCAATATATTTCACTCAAAATTACGTGACTCTAAGTCTGAGGGAAAGTGCTGTGAAGCATATCCTGATAACATGGTCATGGCTAACCCGACTTCCAAGTTTTAAGCATATTCCTCCCACACCAAGGAGACTGCAGGTCAGAAAACTGCCTCACAACTCCTTTCCTGAAGCCAGTAATATTCAGAAAGTATAATACAAATACTATTACCAGCTGCCTACAACAGTACATCAGTCATACCACGTCAAGTTCTATATTTAAAGAGCACAAATGACAGTTCACTAATATTCAGAAGCAAGATCTAGCAATGAAGAATAAAAACAATTAAGTGTATATTATTGCAACAGGTAGTGTAAAATGTGCCCCAGTTATAAACATAAGACTTGTATCATTTATTCTACAAAGCCTAGAGAATAAGCAGATGAGAGACAGCAAGGGAAAGCTAATGCCAGATACCTGAGAAGAGGTGGAAAGTAACCAGTACTTGGAGTGGAGGAAAGAGAGAAAGCACATATCCGTTGAAGTTGGAAAACTCTTTGATAGCACATGAAACTACATCTACAATCTGTCAAATATTTCAGAAAAGAAAAAAAAAAAAAAAACAAACCAACAAACCCCTACCCTAAAAAGGGAGGGATGGAAATATGAAGTACTACCTGAGCTACAGCTAGCACACCAAAGTAGATGTCTAATTCAGATTGATTAAAAACCATTTTCAACGAAATCTCCTAACTTACACTACCAATAGCTATTTACAAAACTAATTCATCCCTCAGCTACAGTCTTTCTCCACTACCTGTTCTGAGGAGTCACTAGTTTTTTTTTAATAAGGTGGCATCCATACTCCGAATTTATTTCTGTGATACAGCAACAACAGCCCAGAAATAAACAACTACTTCTGGCATACCGTCTTTCTCAGGTTTTTTAAGACACATGAATATTCTCAATCAAAAATGTGATCTAATGAAGAAGTGAGTAGGACTGGCCTGACACCACAACGGTCAATACTAAAAGGTAACACAATAACATCAACGAGAATTAAAAGGCATTATTTCTGCAGCTGCATTTGACAAAAATTTCATTACATCCTGCTGTGAATTTAGTAATAAGGTACTTGTGCTATTAACATTTGTTAAATTACTTCTACCTTTTCATGACAATAACAGCGATATCTTTGTCTCACAATACAATCAGTTATTTTCCGATCCAGTGCTTATTTATAAGGAGTCACAAGCATGGCACCATTTTATTTAATTGTATAACAAGAGCAACTGCATTATGGAAGGCATAAAAATTAAACTAGAAGAGAACACTCCTTTTTGTATTTCCTAATATTGTGGTTTATTTGGAATAAACTAGTTTATCCATTTTTTAAATATTCAGTTGCATTACCATATTAAAACTGTATTTGGCTGAAAACATAGTGGAATGATTCACAGTTTTCTTAAAACAATCAGGCTTAACAGCATAACAACAAGCTACCCAAAATTTGAAATTCATACATTTAGAATTGGGGTCAAACCACCATTCTGAAGTTTAAAAAAACAAAATAAAACCAACAAACCACAAAAACCACCTGCCCCCCCCTCAACAAGTAACATCTCAGAGCACAGAACCAGGGAAGCGTGACCTCCTCTGAACGCGCACCCTCACAGCGAACACCTATGTGAATTACTACTCACTAATAAGAACTGAGTTTGTGCACTCCCCTTTCTCACATTCAGAGCATTAATCAAAGAAGCAAACTTTTTCCACGGAACTTCTGGAAAAAGAGTATTCTTTGGACTACAAAACTGGTCACAAATCTGTCTGAAATTTGTCAAAGGACTAAAAAATAGTAAGAAGGGAAGGAAATGGAGATAATGACAGACCTGTGCAGGAGGCACAACTTTATAATCCATGTTTTCTTAGGAAAACGGTGGGGGGGAAGGGGACACGACACGACAAAACCAAAAGCACCACTGCAGTAGCCTAGAAAATCTTGTTAACTAAAAGTACTACCACTACGATTTTACAGATCTTTGTCTTTCAGATGCTAGGGAGGTTACCATATACATTAGGAAAAAAAAATTAAAAACCCTTAGGACACTTGCACATAGAATATAACTCACTAGAACACGTAAGACCTAGCCTCTCTCACCTTCAGAGACTTTCTTAATTCAGGAAAGAAACCCCAGCCCTATGACCACCTCCCACGTGATCCACTGAACACTAACATCCACCCCAATCCCGCGCCCGGGCTCAGGAAACCCATGGCCTGGCAATCAAATATGGCAGCTACTTTTCACATGACGCAAGGCCACAGTTCTTCACATAGTCCTACTGAATGACACTAAAGTTCAAGTTAATATGAGGCTTGCAAAACTGTGTGGCACTCAAGGATGGTAACATCCCTGTACTTTTCACTCCAGACACCAGAGAATTAAAAAAAAAAAAAAGAAAAAAAAAAGAAAAAAAAAAAAGCAGTACTGGGAGATGAGCTTCAGCAAAGAGCTTAATGCTTCCAGAAAGCAAGCAGTACATGCATATCCAACTACAGTGATGCCTGCTGGTAAAACACTTAATTAATTTTTTTTAAAAAAAGAAAGAAAAAAAACATTAGTTACAGTATTCATGACCTTAAATCCTTTTTTCCTCTACTCCATACAAGGACTATTTTGTTTCATTTTAAGTAATCACTAAAGCATCTGTTTACAGCATTGTTGCTATTAATAAAACATAACTTGATAAACACTGAATCATACTTTTTCACATGCTGTAGATCTTTTTTTCCCCATACTTATTTCAAGAAAACTTAAAAATAAGTATTTTGTCACCTTCAATACGGAAAAGGCTAAGCGAAGTTTTTTTTAATCTGTCTAACACCAGCATTATTAAGCCCACACCAACATCAAGCATACCAGAGAAAGCAATAATTTTAAATCTCATTTATGGTCTCCTTTCAAAGCTTAGAATGGGGCAAAACATTGCAATTAAGTTTTACTTCTAAAGCATTTTATCTTACATTAAGTTACCTTCCCTCTGACTTTACAGGTTGAGTACCAACTTAACTAAGCAAAACAGGTGTCCCAAACTTGTAAGAAGTCCTTTTTTGTTTGTTTGTTTTCTTTTTCTGAGTTTGGTAGAAAAACATGTTTGAAAACTGAGTTAATCACAGTTCTATTTCCATAACAATGAGTGCTGTATCTCAGTTATCAGACAAAAACCACTCCTTTCTTGATGGCTCACTGGAAGATGCAGGCTTTGAAACACCGCTTCATGACAAACCGATCTAGTCAGGTTATATCTGAGCGCCCAAACATTCTAGTCCTATAAATGTCTTCTGCCATAAAGATAATTTTTTACTTCCACATAAGTCTACCCGCAGATAAAATTCTGTCTATTAAACTGAAAAGGTTAATTAACAGTTTAGGTCATGCTTCAGAGCAGGTTTTCACTAACTGATAGATAATTAATGAAGATTACAACACAACAGTAGTTCTAACCAAGTCCAATGAGGAAGATTAGAGAGCAGAATCACTCACAGCAAGTGTAAATGAAATCAAGCTAGAAACAATTTAAAATTAATCACAGCTCTCTAGTTTTCAGAACTGACTGCTTGAAATTAAACTCTTCTTTACATACAAGTCAGTAGACGCAATCCACATTACTTGGCATTGTTTGCAGAGAGGATGACGTTGGAATGAATTAATCAGGATATTAAATTCTATTGTTAGTCCAAAAATGTGTCAGTTTGATATACCAGTATGCAGAATGAAAATATTGTCAAGGCATTTTCACTTGTTAAAAAGGATACAAAAAAGTAACGTAATATTAATAGCATGTACATACACCTCTGATAGCAAATGTATGTGCCTCGCGAGGGTGATGGAGAATGCCTGATCTTGAAATACAAATATATGAAAGGAATAGGTAATGGAATTTCTTTGCCATAAGACTGTAACAACATTAAATGTGCTGTGAACCTCAGGCTACTGTCAGACCCACAGAAGCATGTTAACACTATTAGAGCAAACATATCCAAATTGGACTGGTATTTTGCTAGTTCGATACAAGGATAAGTGAGGGGGAAGCGGCACGGCTTAGTCACCTTTAGTTAACTTTAACAAACGCCTGTCAGTGTCGCAGATGTCCATCAGATATTAACAGGCCTACTGTATTCAAGAAATAGTCACCTTCGCTCAAGTCCACAGGCTGGCACCCCTCAGAAGCTGCTGGGAAATGATGTCTGCTTGAAAGCTGGAAGGGGGCATCCACGGAGGGTCCCTCCCCACCCCTGCGCATCCCACCAGAGCTGCACGGCGTGCCGCTGAAACACAGCTCCCGGCCAGACAGGGAGCAGTATCCCTTAGCCGTCAGCTTCAACGTTCAGTGCAGATATCTCAAGCAGCTCAAAGCCGTGAGTTTAAAGAAAATCCTCAAAGATGCAGGAAACCCCAGACTTGGCAGCAGCAATTTCTATTGTTTTCGGCTTGTTCTGTTACCCATTCTTCCCCCTTCCCAGTTACATCTTTAAACTTAGAGGTTATTCACCATTTCCTGAAAGGCATTTTTTTCCTCACAACAAGGTTGCTGATGTTGCTCTATACTTCCCAGCTGTCTCTCACCAGC